CAAAAAAGAAAATGTAAATAAATAAACCTGAGTTTTGTCTTCCAAATCTAAAGCAGTGTGAAGTTAAGTTGTGTAAGTGGGAGAACTGGTTTGTACCTTGCCGAAGCGTGTGGAAAATGTCCCCGTCAGGAGCGAGTGGAAAATAATGATGGTCTCATCCAGGTCCCAAATAAACACTCTCTACACACACACACACACACACACACACACACACACACACACACACACACACGATGAGCATGAGCACAAATATAATCTGCTTACTCATCAAGAAAGGTATTTACTACAAAACACTGCATATTATCTCAGTGCTGTGTTTATGATAATAATTGCTGATAATCTTAGTCGGTTCAGCCTCATTTCACAGCTTATGGGCAGACAAGCAAACGCTCTGTATCCATTGTTCATAAACATTTTACAGTTTTATTTGTCTGGTAATCAAATACCCATATCAATATTTTAATATACAACATTGAGAAATAAATGCAATTGATTCAATGGAGCAAAGAATACATAAATTAATCAGATTAACTTGGACATTCTGCTAAAGATCCATTCGAAAGAATGAAACTCATACAGGTTTGGAGCAACATAAGGGTGAATAAATGATGACAAAATGTTCATTTTGGGTGAACTATCTGTTTAGTGCTGTCAAAACAATTAATCGCATTCAAAATAAAAGTTTTTGTTTACATACTATATGTATGTGTACTGTTTATTTATTATGTATATATAAATACACACACGTACAGTATATATTTTGAAAATATTTACATGTGCATACATTTATATATTTATATTATTATATTTTATATTATATATTAATATATAAACATAGCATATTTTTCTTAAATATACTGTATACATGCACATGTTTGTATTTATATATGCATAATAAATACACACTGTACATGCTCATATATTATGTAAACAAAGCTTTTATTTTGGATGCGATTAATCATTTGACAGCACTAGTTTAAACTCATTGTCTATTGCTGTGAGTGTTGAATGAGGTTGTTGCCAGACATCATTGCACAACTCTGGGTTGGATGTGAGAGTAATCCCTGCGGTCCGGAGCACAGGAATGTTAATGAAAGGTGTTGTGTCAGGGACGCCGTGAAGGCCAGCGTCTGTACCTCAATCTCAGAGTCCAGAGGGGGGACGGGGTCATTGGCCCTCTTCCTGCCTCTCAGCTTCCCATCTGAGCTGCGTCTCGCTGGAGCGCCTTCCTGCTCCTTTTCTGGAGTCGGAGGACTCGTGGGAGCGTGGTACTCTGCTGTTACACACACACACACACACATGCGCATGTGATGACATGTCATATACAGTACATACAGACATACAACCAAATATCTCAATACCAAAGCAAATAGTCCTGAAAGTTTCAAGTTAGCACTATTGTATTAAATACTTAAGTACATCACACATAATAAGTCATACACTGTACAAAAAGATCTATAAAATATAGCATAATTTGGTTAATTTAATGTTTTGTAGTATCTTTGTAACTTTTAAACTTTCTTTGTTTTATACTACTATAATTACGTATATAGACAGACATTTTTTTCTATCTATATTTTCTATATATAGACTCTATATAGATTCTATATATAGACTATATAGACTTTACTCAGACTATAGTTCATAGGGTTTTTTTGTTTGGCACTATTTTGTTATATATATATAGTATATATATATAGAGAGAGATTTTTAGCTACTTTTCATAGTATTCACTGTTTTTTTGTTTTTTTTCATACAGTTTTTTCATACAATTTTTCCTACATATTGAGCATTTTATACTATTTTGCACAGTAATTTTTTCTTAAGTATTCCCTATATATTAAGCTTTGCCAGCTGGCAGGATTTTTATATATTTAATATGGTTTTTCATACAATGTTTCATAGTATGTTCTTAAGTATTCCCTATATTCAGCTAGATATTAAATCTAGATATTAAAGCAACTTGAAACATGTTTTTTAAGTCTGTTTTAGCAAGTTGACATTTATTATATATTATAAGTTATATATATATTTTCTCTATAACTTTTTCTCTATAACTCTACAACCTTTTCATACTATTTTCATACTATTGAGCTTTGCTTTATACTCAAATGACATATACTGTATAGAGAGACATATAGTCAGAAAAAAAGTCATAATTTTTCAACTAATTAAAAGATTTTTTTAAATATATGACTATTTTTCATAGTATTTTCATAAATATTCACTATATATATATTTTGCTTTTTTTTTTTTTTTTACTAAGATTACATTTAGAGAAAAACATATAGTCAATCATCTGGATATTTCAACTTGAAAAAGTTTTTTTTTAAATCTTAACAATTATTGCAAGTTGGCAGTATTTTTATATAAATATTTCCCATACCTTTTTTGAACTTTTTCAAACTTTCATATACTTTTTCAAACACATTTTTCATAATATTTTAAAAATTTTTCATAATATTTGTCTTGCCATTTTCAATAAGTATTCCCTATATCTAATATAAAAATAACATTGAGAATGTTAATCAGCTTCACCATTTTCACCATAGAGCTCACCTGTGTGTGATTCCGGGCTGTGATTGGTCGATACAGCGTGATGATCTGTGTGCTGATAGGGTATCGCCGTGGTGATGGCTGAGGGCGTGATATTGCTGGTTGTGATGTATGGGCTGTTGTAGTGTGTGTTGTAGTATGGGGAATATTGACTTTGGCTGTAGTTAGAATATGTTGAGAAGTCCTGATGGAGACAATGACATGAATGAATCATCTCAGACTACATACTACTTTCTATGTCTCGTTTTGTCTAAACCCTATTGCAGCATTCATTGATGGTTGGCTAATATACCATGGTAGTCAAATTATACTATAATGTATTAAAAATGCCAAGGTTTTATCATTTTAGTCATGCCGTTTTTTTTTTTTTTTTTTTTGCAAAGGTACAACCAGTGTTGCCAAAAGTCCACGGTTTTCCCGCGGAATTGGGCTCCTTTAAAGGAACACTCCACTATTTTTGAAAATAGGCTCATTTTCCAACTCCCCTGGAGTTAAACAGTTGAGTTTTACCGTTTTCGAATCCATTCAGCCGATCTCCGGGTCTGGCGGTAGCACTTTTAGCTGTAGCTTAGCATAGATAATTTAATCTGATTAGACCGTTAGCATCTCGCTCAAAAATGACCAAAGAGTTTCGATATTTTTTCTATTTCAAACTTGACTAGTTAGGTAGTTACATCGTGTACTAAGACCAACGGAAAATGAAAAGTTGCGATTTTCTAGGCCGATATGGCTAGGAACTATACTCTCATTCCGGCGTAATAATCAAGGAACTTTGCTGCCGTACCATGGGTGCAGCAGGCGCAATGATATTACGCAGCGCCTGAAAATAGTCCCCAGCACGCTCCCTGTGCAAGCAGGTGGTCACGTTGGTTATGTTGACGGAAGTTAGCCTATTTTCAGGCGCTGGTCATTTTTAAGCGAGATGTTAATGGTCTAATCAGATTCCATGATCTATGCTAAGCTACAGCTAAAAGTGCTACCACCAGACCCGGAGATCGGCTGAATGGATTCGAAAACGGTAAAACTCAACTGTTTAACTCTAGGGGAGTTGGAAAATGAGCCTATTTTCAAAAATAGTGGAGTGTTCCTTTAACACTGTTGCCGCAGGTTGAAGCATGATATTTAGCCCCTGGAATGCAAATTTTACCAGGGGAACCTTGCCAGAAAACGTGTATTTTACCCCCAGAACATGATTTTTACCAGGGGACCCCCTCGAAACGCGATTGGGCTTGTGAAAATCTGGCAACCCTGTATACAACAGTATATCAGTCTCCAAGGGTGATTGTAGTCCATCAGCAAAGGTGCTGTGTGATGCATTTTCCTAATTTGACCCACCTGCTGTGCAGGACTGAACGGCGTTGAGCCTGTGATGCTGTTTGCACCCTGGAAAATTCCAGAAGAAATGCTGCCGCCTGGAAAAGAAGCACAAAGCTAGTTTAAGAGCGTACATCGAGCTGACTGCTGTAAAGCCACTCCAAAGCGCACGATCCAACACAAACACGACGCAGGAAATACAACAGGCAGCGGCCGAGGAACGGCTGGTGAAATATAGACACATTTAAAGCACTCAGAGAAAGTCTGCTTGATTTATGACTACAAAAAAAGTTCAGGTGAGAAAGGGCAGCGTGGAGCCCAGTGCAAATCCGTCTCCGTTATCGGACTTTCAGAGTTTGAATGTCTTTCTCCAGACCCGTCTAGTTCCCTTTTTTCTGTCTCGTTCCCTTCATATTCCCACTCGTTGGCTTTCTGAAACCTGCCCTAGATAAATGAGTGTGTCAAAACAGCACCAAATCTCCAAGGAAGCAAGCAGAAAGTCTTCAAAGGGGGAGAGAGGGAAGTGGGCAAACGCCGGGGCCGTGTTTCTGATTTTCTCCACAGCGGTGAAACGCGAGGACCTTTGGCACCCGGAGAAGGGTTATTTATTTCATGCTACAGCAGGTCTCCTGTTGGAATTTGCCTATAAATCAAACGAGACCGGCGAGATGCAGCGCGAGACGTAGTAAGCGCGTTTTCCCAGACCCATTAGAAATCCATCCATTTCACAAGCAGACAATTTTACAGTAAATGATGTCTCGGGACGTTTATGAATTACTGTAAATCCCTCTAATACATTATAGATGATATTATCTGCCATAGCACTAATAACTCATTGATTATGCTAATTAGACAAACAGGAAGTAGATGTCTTGTGCTTTATGACTTTGAATGCTTGAACTGTTCACACTACTTTACAAAAGTTTGGGATCAGTGAGACTTTGTTAAAGTTTTGGAAAGAAGTCTCTTCTGCTCACCAAAGCTGCTTTTGCTTGACTAAAAATACAGTAAAAACAGTCATATTTTGAAATATTTTTATAATTTAAAATAAATTATTTCTATTGTAATATATTTTAAAGTGTAATTTATTCCTGTGATCAAACCTGAATATTCAGCATCATTACTCCAGTCTTCAGTGTCACATGATCCTTCAGAAATCATTCTAATATGCTGAGTTGCTGCTCAAGAAACATTTCTAATTATTATCAATGTTGAAAACAGTTTTGTGTTAGGAATAGACTGATACTATATTCACTGAAAATCATTAACACATTTGGCATGTCAATAGTTTTTGAAATTAATGAAATTAATTTTTGCATGTGCCAATTTTTGCAGAGATGAAGATTTTAGTGAACAATTAATTAATTCAGCCTGATCCTCACACAAGTGTTATTTTAGTATTATTTATATACTATCATAGTTTATTAATGTTTTTAATTTTTATATTTAATTTTTAGTTTAATTTTTAATAATTTTGTATGCCCTTTTGTTATTTTATTACGATTATTATTTTTGTAATATTATGATTGTTTCAATTTGGTTTTAATTTTATTTCTTTTTAGTAATTTTAGTGCTTAAACTTATTTCAGTTTCGTTTTTCATCTAATATTTATATTTTATTTTATTAAAAAAAATGTTTTTAATCGTTTTCATTAACGATAATAACCGTACCTCACACAAAGCAAATCATATGGCTTTAAAAGATTTTATTCAAAGATTTTGCTTTTTCGTCCTTAATATGCTTGTTTTGTCCCCTGACAGCCCATGGCCACTATTTGCTTTCACTTCATGGAAAAACCCCCTTCAATTTTCTTCAAAGCATCTCCTTTTGTGTTCCATGGAAGAAACATCATCAGGCTTTGGAATGACATGCGGGTGAGTAAATGATGATGACTAGTAATTCTGTCCCTTTAAACCTGAAAACGTGCCTGGTGCCACTTCACCTCTGACCTTGACTGAGAGCGGTCAATTTCACACTGCTGTGCCAAAATCAGGACTGCGGGCAGAAGAGGGGCGACTGACTGCGATCCGACGCTCAGATCCCGTCTGAGACTCACTCCCACACTAACACACTCCTCCAGTGGCCGGCATGTTGCGGAGAAAGGTCCTGACCTCCTGAGAGAGCAGAGAGAGATGCCTGACGCCAGGAGCCAGACTGCGGATAATGGGGAACAGGTGTGTGTGTGTGTGTGTGTGTGTGTGTGTGTGTTGGGGGGATCGACTGTAGACGGCACCTGAAAAATCAGTGTGTGTATTTGTGGGGATTTGTTAAAAATAAATGTGTTTTTGTTTATAAGTGTAGTTGTATTTGTAAAAATTCCAGTTGATAATACTTATTACCTGACTTTTGGGATACTTGATTCCTGATTGGTCAAAATATGGTATAATGACGCTAAACTGTTAGGCAAGTAATTTCCTACATGAATGTACTAGTATCATACCATAGTCCTGATCTCCATGTCTGGGTTTTTTCTGTGATACTGACTGGCTGACTGTATACTTTTTTCATTAAAATGAATGCTTTTATGCAGCAAGGATGCATTAAATTGTTTGAAAGTGACATTAAAAACAGTAACATTAAATGTTACAAACGTTTTCTATTTAAAAAAAAAAAATGCTGTTCTTTTTTTTACTTTCTATTTTATATCCTGAAAATAAAAACATATCACTGTTTCCACAAAAAATATGAAGCAGCACAACTGTTTTTGACATTGATAATAATAATGATTCTTGAGCAGCAAATCAGCATATTAGAATGATTTCTGAAGGATCATGTGACACTGAAGACTGGAGTAATGATGCTGAAAATTCAGCTTTGATCACAGCAATCAATTACACTTTAACATATTGAAATAGAAAACTGTATATTAAATTGTAATTATATTTCACAATATTATGATTTTTACTGTATTTTTGATCAAATAAATGCAGCCTTGGTGACCAGAAGAAAACACATAAACAAATAAGTGCGAATAAGGGTCAGTTGCACACCACTTTTCCTTATTTTCTCTGCATGCAAAGACCGATACTGCAATTCCGTTGCAGAATTAAACGGAAGAATGAAACTGCTGGTTTGACACAATCTGATTTGTAAAAAGTGCTATATAAATAATGGTGACTTCACTTCATTGCTTGGTTTATTGCTGATTCCAAGCTCTAAAATACCATGTAGATAAAATAGTTTATAATACCACTTTTGGTAACGTGGCTCTTTGCGAGGCGGTTGTGGCACTGACCGTGTGTGGAGTAACTGTAGAGCGTCTGAGCGGGTGGAGTGCCGCTGAAGTTGGACGTGTATCCCAGCAGACTGCTCTGTCCTGGTGAATGACTCAGGCCATCTTCTGTTTTAATATCTGATCGGGTGAGAGAAAGAGACACGATCAGCTGCCAGGTCAGCTGTGGTGTGCACTATTTAGGGCGGGTGTGAAATGTCACTCACTGTAGGACGTCATGCTGTAGCCCTGTGTGTGATGTGTGTACGGTGTGTATGGACCGGCCGGCTGTAACGTGGGGCTGTACTGCGTCTGTCCGTAAGCAGCCATGACTGAGGACAGCTGCTCTAGATGTAGTCAGAGAACCAGATATTAACTATAGACAGCCTCTTCCTATTGCAATAACACACGAACAACACAACCTGATTCATAAACAAATGACTCTTTTGAATCGGTTCTCCTGTTTCTGTTCTTTTTGGTTCTTTCTTATGTTTATAATTAAATTATATATATGTGTTGTTCATTTTAATTGTTTTTTTTAATGTCTATATACTTTAGATTTTATTCATTTTTAATTTCATGATTCGATCAATTCTTCAAAAGTACTGAAAGAATCAAAGAATCAAAATCATTAAATGGAATACAATTCAGAAGCAAATGACTCTTACGGGCTGGTTCTTTTTAATTAATCTGACAAGCCAATCAGTCTCAAATTAATGAGTTATGAATTGAATTCAAAAGTAAAAGATTCCTTAATGGAATCGTTTGGGATTCTGAATCATTAAGTGGAATCCAATTCAAGAACGAACGATTCTCATGAGCTGATTCTGTTTTATGAATCAGACAAACAAGTCATTCTCAAACACCTTAGTTATTTTGTCCTCATAAGTACTAAAATTACCATAATTGGAATCATTAAAGGACCATTAAGTGGATTTCGTAAATCATGATTCTCATCCCTATAATTGTACGGTTTAAAACAAGGATTTTATGTATGTCTACACTGATGAATTAATTCTCCACAAATCAACTGTAAAACCATTCTTATGCAATTTGTCACCTTGAATTTAATGTTTTGTGAAGAATTTGCACAGAAAGTTTGCCAAACAGTTTAAACAGAAACATTCACTTTTTTTCCCTGAAGACGAGTTTAATCTTGTGCTTTTTGCTCCTTAAGTGCATGCATCTTGTTTTAAGGATGATATTTTTATTGGAAAACAACAAGATTTTTGCAGTGTTTAAGTGGAGCCCAGTGTGAGTATAGAACTAGCTGTAATATCACTCACATGGCCTAAAATTGTCACCCGATGTGTAGATCTAGTGGCTCCTGTGAATAAAAGGAACAGGTTAAACATTTTCCATCTGAATGAATGCACTAGAGGAAGTTCATTAAATCCAAACTGCTAAGTTGTTGCAGACCTGTGGCTGTCTGTCGTCGTACTTCCGCTTGCACGCGTTCAGCTGTCAGCTCTCCTGAAATAGACAGACCTGTTTGTCAGAAATATGTGATCTAAAAAGCACACGGGCTTTGGTCCAACAGCATGCATCTCCAAAGTAAATTATGAAGAAGGAACCAGAACATAAAAATGCACAAAGCACAATTCATGTCTAATCGTGTCTTACACAAGGGAAAAAAAAGGTGAACGGACAGTTTTTCTGAATGACGAGGCACCTGCGGTTTCCAAAAACACATATAATTAGAATTCTGAGATACAGACAACAGTGAAACGCTTGTTTGTATAAACCGGCTCGGTAGGACTGTGTTCCTGGAACAGAACAATGTGTAACCTGCTTTTTCAACCTGGCATAATTTGGCATCACAAACCGCAGGCAGAACTGTGTGCCAGCAGTTCAGGACGGGCGAAAAACGCTGGCTGTTCTTGTGCATGTAGATGTAAGAAATGCAAAAGTGCCTGTTCTGTTCTGGGCTGGTAATGGCAAGGTGCGGTGTATACTGTACATGTGGGTATAGTTTGCATGAATACAACTGAGAGACGATATGGGTGAAACACCGCAAATGACCTTGTAACCTTGACATGTTTTTTTTATTTTTTTTATTGCTTTTTCTCGTTTAATTTCTGCTTCAACTTTGTCTCAGACCTCAGGAGAAAATAAGAGCTGAGCTAAAATGAATGCAATTAATTGTCATTTGATGAGAAATTTTTGAGTTTGCTTTGAGATCTCTGATTTTTGATTGCGATATGACCCGTCTCATCCGTGCTTGTCTTCTAACAACGCCTGCACTGTAAAAAAAAATCCGTAAAATTGACAGTAAAAAACCGGCAGCTGTGGTTGCCGGAATTTTACCGTAAAAAATACGGTAGCAACGTTTTAGGTTTTACGGTTTTAACTTAAATTTACAGTTAAATACCGTAATTTCATTAACTGATATAATGTTAATGTACCAACCTATTGAAGTACTGAAATCTGTTTTGTACCTTTGTAATACACTGATAACCACCAAATGCAGGTGGTGATGAGAAAGTCACATGATGAACCAAAGCCCATCACAAGCAGCTTTTAGATAATAACATATATAGAAGGTGCACAGTGTCACTCACACAGACACTAAACCCCATCATGGTAACACACATGAAACTGAAATCATGCAATAAACATTCATTTAACAACATTAGGTGTAACACACAACCCTAATATACAAAACTGATAAGACAAAACTAAGAAGAAACATAGTTATTTCAACAAAAAACATCAAATTTGAAATGTAACACAGGGAATTCTGGGAATGTCAATTTACGGTTATTCACTGTAAATTATAC